TGATTGCTGGAGCCTCAGGGCTGAAGGGCACCCAGCGAGACGAATGCGGGCCGTGCTGGGCAGGGGCCGCTGCCTGGGACCGCGAGCCTGACCACCGGCAGCTCGGGTGATGGTTCTCGCCTCCAGCGACACCGCGTGTGCACCGGGCGGGCCAGCGGCCTCCGTCCCGTTCCAGCCCCAGCCCCGAGCCCTGCAGTTGTCCGGCCGGGCTCTCGGCGCGGATGGGAACGTGGGGTTTCCCACTTCCGGTGTCTCAGTGAGTGGCCAGGAAGGTCCCGGAAGCAGCCTCCGGCTTCTCGCACTGAGGGGAGAGGTTAGCACGGGAGCTCCAGTCTCACGTGCGTCTTCCGGCCCAAATCCCCCCTTCCTCAGGTTTGCTCCTCCCGTGGGTCTCGCGGCTGCTGCCTTTAGCTCCCCACGAGGAGCTGGGCGGTGCTGGCTGGTCCTGCGTGGGCAGTGAGGCATGTTCAGGGCACGGACCGGCTGGAAGAGCTTCCCCGGGACTCTCAGTCTTCTGGTGATTGTGGGAGAGGGAGAAATTCACGTTTAGGCTTCACGCATTTGAATGTTTTCTGGCTCCAGGAGTAAAATGTAGCTTATCAAGGACCGGGCGCTGCGCCAGGGTGACAGGTCAGTGGCACGAGAACATTCCCCTGGGGGTGAGTAGTGAGAGCAGCAGCCTCGGCCCACACTCCGGGCCTGGCACCTGGAAAGGGCCGCCCTCGCACTCGATGGTTTCGGTGCCACACGCCCGGATGGCCGTCGCGCAGCGCGTGTCTGCGGGCCCGGGTGTGCGGCCAGGCCCCTCCTGGGAGCCGTGATTAGGAGCGCGGGGCCAGGAAGGCCGCTCGATGGGAGGCAGCTCGTGTGTTTCAGGAACCAAGACGAGCGACCTTTCAGCCCCCAGAAAACATGTCCCGAACATAAAACTTATCGTGTTTTCTACCTCTCCTTTGTCTGACTTCCGGGACGGGCGCGTCTTTTACTATTTCCCGTGAGGCTTTTGAACCTCTTTCTTCCCCAAATCCTTCGAGCGGGAACCACAGGCTGTGTGTGGTCAGGGCCACAGGCTGTGCGAGGTCAGGGCCACAGGCTCTGTATGGAGCCTTCCCTGGCTCCTGCGTCAGGGCCACAGGCTGTGCGTGGAGCCGTCCCTGGCTCCTGCATCAGGGCAAAGGGGCTACAACCAGGACAGGCCTGGCACCTTGTGGGACACACGTGCCCCAGTCGTGGCCTCGGAGACGCCGGCCTGGGAACCTCTGCCACTGGACAGGCCTGTTTCCCTGCTGCTGCCCAGGCAGGGGCGGGAGACGCTCCTCGCGGGGAAAGTGTTTATCCCTCTCCGGAGCTTTGTTCCCTCTGGACCGACGGAGGCCGGGCCCCCGGTTCTTGGCATGTCCTGTGTGTCCCTGGACCCGACATGGAGGTGTCCCGACAGCAGATCTCTCCAGGCTCACAGGCGCCGAGAGCCTGTCTGCTGTGAGGACTTCGGCACATCCTGTAAAGTCGGGGGGCGGCGAGGCGGGGAGGGGGCGCTTTCCCGAGGGCACGAGCCTTCAAACCGGAAGCACGCCCCTGAGGTGCCTAGCTTCACCGTCAGCGGGAGTGAGGGAATCCACGCGCCTCGGAAACCATGCTTGTTCCTCCGCGGGCTTTCCTCAGGAAAGGTGGTTTCCTGTCTGGTTCGGCAACACCCTGATTATTTCCCTAGTGACTCTAACCGTTACCTGTGCACGCGTGTGTGCACGTATGGGAGTGTGCGTGAGTGCACACACCGGTGTTCTTAAACTTCAGGAGTGGCTACTCTGCGCCTTTGCTTCTGTGTCCATTCATCAGCACATCTGCCATCGCGCACCGGACACACGTGTGCATACGTGTGTGCCATGTGGTTGTAAGTGTCTTTCCGCTCTGGATGCATAGTTGTAGCACATCCTCAAAAGCATCCGTGAGGCGGTTCGGTGCCGCTCCCCGCCCTGCCCCGCAGCCTCACGGGCGTTCACACGCGTGCCGCCAGATTCCTTCACTCCGTCCCAGTCCTGACGCAGTGGGTGGTGTACGCCATCCGCAACCTCACCGAGGACAACAGCCAGAACCAGGATCTGATCGCCAAGATGGAGGAGCAGGGGCTGGCGGACGCATCCCTGCTGAAGAAGATGGGATTCGAGGTGGAGAAGAGGGGTGACAAGCTGGTTCTGAAGGCCACCAGCACCCCCCCGCCGGTGAGTACGCTGCAGGGAGGTCCCCCCTCCGGCCCCTCGGATGGCGGGGTTCCGGCCTGGGAGCGGGTGGGAGCGCTGCGCCTCCAGAGTGAAAAGGCGACCTGACACTCAATTGCCGCCAGTTCCTCAGGCTTTAGGCTGCAGTGTTTGTGAGTTAAATG